TCCACATGAGTGCCACGTCAAAACTTTCTCGATATTTCATATTTAGAAAAGAAAAGAAGTCTTTGGATAGTATAAAGAGAATAATTGACATCTATGGACAAAAGATTTTAAGTTAGTTTATATCCCCAGTCTCAATCAATGATCCACTAAAATTAATAATCACATAGGCTATAACAAAACTTGGTAAAATGGAACCAGTACACCCAAAACAGCGGCTTCTTAAAACAGTTATTACACAGATAATCAATTAATTATCTAAAATTATGGACTAACGTTATTTTTCTTTCATTTTTAACAAGAAAATCACTCAACTATTCCTATTGAACATAAATAGTTAGTCATTCGGATTTATCAAGCTTTTCGCTGAAAAAATGTGGTGTGGTATTCCATATGGATTTTTTAAAATATTTTTGGACCAAATAAATTTATTAACACTCAATCAAAACATAAAAAATCCACCCATACACCCAACCTAACTCGCTAAAAATAAAAATTCACCCGTTAAATAAAATCAAACACAAAACACATCCCTACTGCAAATGCATTTCTCTTTTTCTTCTTCTTCTTCTTCTTCTTCTTCTTCTTCTTCTTCTTCTTCTTCTTCTTCTTCTTCTTCTTCTTCTTCTTCTTCTTCTTCTTCTTCTTCTTATAAACAACAACTTTTTTTTCATGGTTTCACTCTAATTCCTAATCCCGTACCCACTATTGTTTTGTAAAAAGTAAAAGAAAAATCGTAAAAAGAAGAATACATGTCACTGATAAAAGAAGAACACAGGTCACTCTAGTCCTTAGTCCTGAACCTCGTACCCATTATTATTTTATAAAACTAGAGTAAAATCATGAAAAAGAAGAAATCTGGTTTTAATAATAATAAGAGAGATGCATTTACAACAAGGATGTGTTTTAGTATTTGATTTTACTTAGTGGTAGATTTTTATGTTTAGTGGATTGGGTTGGGTGTATGGGTGAATTTTCTATGTTTTGTTTGGGTGTTACTTATTTTATTTGATCCAAAAATATAAAAAGTGTATGTGGACTACCACGTCACACCATGTCACATTTTTCCACCGAAAACTTTGTAACTTTTTTGGTACAAACGAAATAGAAGTGACTTCAGTTCATAATTTTGGATAATTGGATGATCACTTGATCGAGTAATGGAATCTTTAAATTAGTGAAAGTTAGATTGTTATTTCAATCACAATCCCTTTTCTGCAAAGGCGAGATAGCAAATTCGTGACAAGCATTAATTTTTTGTTTTTCCTATTCTATATACCTCAATCCTCATACATATTCTGGAACTCTTATTGATCAGCTCCTTACTAGGACCACTTGAGAACATGTGAAGACCATAAACAATCTTCCATTAAGCTGCATATATGCAGAAGAAAACATATTACACATTACTATCCGTCTTGATACGTGTATCATGTATATTGTCATATATACGCATAAAAACTATTCATACATTTATGAATATTTATGAGAAGAGCAAAATTTCATTGCAATTTCTCTTCTTTAATTCTTATTTCTTTTTTTAGGGGCACAAGTGGATCCAAAATTTATATTTTATGAGTTCAACCTTTACAATTTTTCACTACAGAACCTATTATACTTTTGAAATTATGAATTCAAAATCTTATAATTGTTCAAATTTCTGTAAATGTTCACATACATTCTATATATATTTTTCATGCAAAAAATGGTGTGGGTTTAGCTAAGCCCATAAAACCCGGACAAAAGAGGCCAAAATTGATTGAGCAATGTCAGCTGGGTTGTACGTGGAGGCTGACTTGTTGACGCAAGGGTATACGTTAGTCGCACTAACCACATCCATTGCCTGGCCAATTAATCACATATAAATATAATAATAACAATAATCAAATAAATAGTCAAACGTAGTTATTAGTGCAGTCCAAAAAACCAAAAGTGGCTAAGCTTCATTCTTCGGTTCTGCTTAGCTTAGCTAGATGGCACTTACTAGTGAACAAGTACTCTATTGTTGATAAACAATGATCAACACGTATAGAGATAAATACAGTACAAATCAGGCAGCACCATTGTAGAGAATTAGTGTTTAAAATTGTTAATTAATATGACTTACAATACTTTAATATAGTTTTTAAATGTATAATTTTTTTTAAAAAAACTTAAAGAACTCTATGACCGAATTCACGGTCAGAATTTAAAATTTTAACTTTCGAAATTTGACCAACTGACACACAAATTTGGATGTAGAGAATACTAAATTACCTCATGTAATGGATGAGTTCAACTTCTTTCACAATCTTATCATTGCAGTGTTCAACTTTCACTCACGGCATGCTAGCTTATTTATGGATAACAAGCCAATAATTGTTTTTGGACATTTTTTTGATATTCTTCAAGAACATCAATATTTTATGCTTTTGTTATAGAATTTCTTCAATTTCCTAAAAAGGGTGACGCAATTTCTTAAATTATGGGAGAATTCTTTTATAAAGAAATGAACTCATCAGTATGAATGTGTTGACTTCTATTTTCGAAAGGATCAAGATCTGAAGAGGAACACTGAGAAGATGACAATTTTTATGTTTCCACTATAAGCTCCAAAATTTTCATGAGAAGAAGACAATTTTTATGTTTCCACTATAAGCTCCAAAATTTTCATGTCCGATACTAGTAAGTCAAAACTTAAAAAAGGGAAGAAAAAGAAAGCTAACCTTGACTTGTTTTACTTATAAAATGTAACTTGTTCGGCAGCAACTGCCACGTACTGCAATAGTTTCTTGCTCTCAAGTTACTTGTCACATGATTGGTTAAGTATTTTGGCGTCACCTTAATGCATGTTAAAGTACTTTCTTGCTCTTAGCTATTTACATGTGTTTTTAGATGCCAGATTTTGTCAGCAAACCCAGTTTACTCGTCACTACTCTTTGTGAAGATATTTAAGATATTCAGGCTTACTTTATATGATGTTACCTTTTGACTGGAGAATAAGTTACTAAGTACATTCAGACTTACTTTTGATTATGCCATCTTTTCTTTATTAGTAGAAGATTATGGAATTTTTTTAGTTATAGATCGTCCGTAGGGCGGGCAAGGATGAGGTGGGGCTGGTTCTGGAAAAGAAAAATAGATAATCTGCCCAACTCAGCATGGAATGTGCCGCATCCGGCCTGGCCTGGCCCGTCATTACCCCACCACCACCAGAAGTCCAAAATCCTTCACTTCACACAATGAACTAACTCAGATAGGACAAAAAGGGTTTTCTCGTCTTTTCATCACTTCCAATTTGACCTTTTTTTAGNTATTTGGGCCTAGGTTTGGGTTGTGGGGGTTGGGGAATGGGGTGGGGGAGAGGTTGCTTGCACCGATTCACCAACAGTAGAAGTCATGCGTAAATAGCAAGAACCATGTGAAAGTTTTGCATAGACGTAGAAACATATTCCTAAGATTTAGGATTAAGCAAAACAAAATGTCAATCTAATGTCGACAAGCGAATCTTTTCAAACCTGACCGAATATATAGTTCAAGAAAAAATTATACAGTTGTGCAGAGTAAGACTGATGCTTTCTTGCTCCCCTCTTAGGATTAAGCCAAATTCCCTATCTTTTTCATGGAAAGTACGTTAAGCAAGACAACTATTATTCCATTCAATAAAAATGAACAAATAAATTAAGGTTAATTAAAATGTTGTCTATAAAATTACTATAACGTGTTATGGTTGAAAAAATAGCTCTCACTGACCTGTTAGGAGATCTTTTTACTAATCGTGCCCCTAATAAATTTATCTAATTTAGTATACCAACTTTGTTGCTCTGTTTTTCTCCTTTTCTTTTCCTTGATGGGCTTCCACTTAAAAAAATATGACGAATTCTTTTGTTGAGCAAGATCTGAAGAAGTAGAAAATAGTGAACCGTATTTTTCCAGCGTGTGTGATCAGTTCATGGAATCTACCATACATAACAGAATTACTAACTGTCATTTATATGAAACTATTGGAACTTGAGATTTATTAAATTAACTCAATGGTTATCCTGTCAAATAAAAGAAAATCTTATCATATATGCCTGTCAATAAAATAAAATTTCTCTCCCTCATTAACAATATATATCTTCTCTCTCGAATTAAATGAGAGGTGCAAGTGGTATTCAGACAAATTACTTGATTAAAAAACATACAAATGGAGAATGTTGAGAAGAAAAAGCCTCCTCATAATTCTGATTTTCATGGTGGTTCATCTACAGATAGAGAAGAAGATGAGATGAAGAAGAAGACCTAACAGAGATGGTTTGTCTTCAAACCAAAGTGTTTGATATAACCTAAGTCAAATAGGTTATTTTTGGTCGACTTTGGATGGACACGTGGAGAAGGCAAGGCCTTTGGATCAAGCAAGCCGATCCATGATTGATTAAATAGAGACTATCTGATAATAGTGGCACTAGAAGCTTCCCTCACGTGAATGACATATGAGGGAATATAAGTTAGTTACTAGAAGAATAATTTAGTTATTAGTGGGCAAATTAGAATAGGACAAGTTTATAAATTTTACTCTTTCTGCTCATTCTTTTATTCCTTAGCAAGTGTATATATACATGTATATGAAAGTGATGAAATACACAGAAATTTTCAGAATTTACTCTTTAAATTCGTTCATGGTATCAGAGCACCTAACTCGATCCAACAGTTCAATTATCTAGATTATTTACATCATCTCATCCTCGACGTCAACTCATCTTCACTAAACAAAAATGGGTGACACAATCATAACTGCAGATACCAGCAACATTGCAAAGGCTGTGAGTTATGATATCAATCACCCCTATCATCTTAATAATTCTGATTCTCCTAGGATGACTCTAGTCAACACCTTGTTTGATGGAAGGGGATAACCAGGATGGAGGAGGTCCATTTTGTTGTCTCTATCAGCTAAGAAGAAACTTGGGTTTATCAATGGAGCATGCCAATCTCCAGATCTGAGTTCTCCAGATCATGAACAATAGAGCTGTGTCAATGACATGGTGATTTCCTGGATTCTGAATGCCCTTTCTAAAGATATCGCAGACAGTGTGATATACTCCAAAACTGCAAAGGAGCTTTGGGATAGCTTGGAGCAGAGATTTGGAAAATCAAATGGAGCCAAGCTACACCATCTGCAAAAGGAGTTGTCAAGATTAGTGCAGGAAAACTGTGATATTGCAGGATACTTCACTAAACTCAAACGATTGTGGGATGAATTGGATGCTTTAAATGTTGTCATATGTTGTTCACGCGTGTGTACTTGTGAAGGAAAAGCAAAATTAACTAAGTCACTTGAAGATCAGAGGTTGTTTCAATTCCTAATGGGATTAAATGACATCTATGCACAAGCAAGAGGAAACATACTCATGATGAATCCTTTTCCTAGCATAGATATTGCCTATTCTCTTCTCTTGCAAGATGAAAATCAAAGAGAAGTTTATGCAAACGTACATTTTAACTCAGATTCGTTGTCATTTATGGCAGCAGGAGATGTGAAACAACCTAATGCCCAACTTTTAGCTGATTTTGCAGCTTTTATGGTGACAGGGGAGGGGAGAAACTTTCAGAAAAATAGGAACCAAGCACAAAAAGGAGCAACAGTGGGAACAAAATTTAATAATTCAGGACAGAAGTTCACTAAGCCACAGCAGAAGTTTAAGGCAAAGAAGAGGTACAATTCAAATATGTCTTGTACTTATTGTGGAAAAACAGGGCATATTCAAGAAGATTGTTACAGAATCATTGAATTTTCAGATGATTTTAAGTTTACCAATCAGAAGAACTATCAAAATCAGATCAAGGCAAATGCAGTTTTAACACATGAAGATCATGAGAATCAGATAGGACAGAATACTGAAAACAACAACGATTTTGGGCAACAACTCAATAAGGAACATGTTGCAGAGATAGTGAACATGTATAAGCAGGCAAAGTTGGCACAAGCAGGAAATTCAGGAATCAATGCTAATGCAGTTGCTGGTACTATTCTAAAATACTCAGGTTCAGTGTTTACCACTCTAAATTCTGACACCTGGATTATTGATTCAGGTGCTTCAGAGCATATGTGTTTTGATCCCAACTCTTTCTTATTTCTAACTCAACTTCCTCTGCCTTTGAACATCAATTTACCTAACTCTTTTAAGGAAATTTTTACTCATATAAGAAGTGTTTCTATCCTGCCAGGTCATGTTTTGAACAATATCTTACATGTTCCAGATTTCAAATACAACCTATTGTCAGTACATAGGTTTTGCAATCAGTTCAAATATGATGTCTTATTCACATCTATTGGGTGTATGTTGCAGGGCCTTTCAATGAAGAGTCCACAAGCTTTTGGTGAAGTTAGAGAAGGACTCTACATATTGGAGCCTAGTAGTCTTAAGTCTAAGAGTTTATTCAATAGTAATGTATCTTCAATTCAAAAAGGAAGAAATTCCATTTCAGAGTCTATGTCTTTTTCTAGTCTTGTTCATGTTAATGCAATTCCTGATGTTAAACTTTGGCATGTAAGGTTGAGACATCTCCCATTTTCAGCAATGAAACATTTAGATTTTCTTCATTGTGACTCAAACTCTGATTTTATCTGTGATGTTTGTCCTAAGGCTAGGCAGACAAGGAAACCTTTCCCTGTCAGTACCATTAAATCCAGAGATATTTTTAATCTCATTCATATAGACACATGGGAACCTTACAAGTCTAATACCTATAATGGGTTAAGATATTTCCTTAATATCGTATATGACTATAGTAGAGGAACATGAACATTTTTGCTGTCCTCTAAGAGCAATGCATTTCCCATGCTCAAATCTTTCTTATCCATGGTTGAAAGACAGTTCAATGTAAAAGTGAGAATGATAAGGCCTAATAATGCTCTAGAATTGGGGAAAGGAACACAAGAAGAAGCTTTTCTTGCTTCAGAAGGTATTCTGCACCAGCTGTCTTGTATAGAAACACCTCAACAAAATGGGATTGTTGAGAGGAAACATAGACATCTCTTAGAAATTGCTAGAGGTCTAATATTTCAATCCAGGCTGCTTATGTCATATTGGGGTGAATCTATTCTGACTGCCACACACATTTCTAATAGGTTGCCTTCCAGTGTTCTTCAAGGAAAGACACCATATGAGGTCCTATTTCATCACAAACCCAAGTATGACTATTTGAGAAATTTTGGATGCCTATGCTATGCCTCTACTTTGAAACAGAGGAGAGGGAAGTTTGATGAGAGGGAAACAACTTGTGTTTTACTTGGTTACCCTCTTCAACAGAAGGGATACAAACTGCTGGAGCTGTCCACAAGGAAAGTATTTGTGTCTAGGGATGCGACATTTCATGAGTCACATTTTTCTTTTGCAGAAATCAACACACCACACCATCCTATTTTTTTCAACTTCAATTTTCACCACAGAACCTACCTATTCAACCACATTCCAAGACCAAACACAGCCTACTTCTTCAGAATATGATGCAACAAATATGTTTTCACCACAATCATCAAGTCCTACTCATATTTCTCATTATCATTCAGTTTCTCCACAATCACCAACTCCAGTCTCTCCTAGCCTAGAGCCATCACACACTAGGACACCTTTTTCTACACCTCAAGAACCTATGCTATTGAGGAGATCAGGAAGAGTGTCTACACAACCAATCTACCTGAAAGATTTTGTGTGTAACAACATCATGTTCACAAATCTAGCCACAGCTTGTTTTACTCAACCCTGTCAACCTACTGAGTATTATTTTTTATCTCTCTTATCTAATAACCAGCATGTAATGCAGTCCCTTTCTACCATAACAAAACCTTCTACTTTTAGCTAGGCTTGTCAATATCCAGGATAGATAGAAGCAATGAATGCAGAAATTAAAGCTCTAGAAGACAATCACACTTGGATGTGGTTGAGTTACCTAAAAGAAAAAGAGCTTTACCTTGTACAACCATAAAGTGTCTACTCACTGTTACAGCCAAGAAAGATTAGAATATTTCTCAGCTAGATGTGAGCAATGTATTCTTGCATGGAGATTTGCAAGAAGAGGTATATATGAGATTTCCAGCAGATTTGGATCCTACTAGTCCTAAACATGTTTGTCTTTTGAAGAAGTCACTATATGGTTTAAAGCAAGCGTCTAGGCAATGGTATACTAGGCTAGCAGGAGCTCTAAGTTTTAAAGGATATTCTTCATCAATGGATGACTATTCTTTGTTCTTTAAACCCACATGAGGTCTTATTTCTATCCTAGCTGTCTATGTTGACGACATACTAATCACAGGAAATGACTTAGAAGAAATTCAAGGCATAAAAGATTTTCTGAATACTGAATTCAAAGTCAAGAATTTGGGAAGTATACACTACTTTCTAGTTATGGAAATTTTGAGAGAAAAAACAGGATTTATCGCGAGTCAAAGAAAATTTACCTTAGACATGTTGAAGGAATTTGATGTGTCTAATTTGACTCGAGTCAGTTCTCCTTTGGATCCTGCCTTGAAGCTTCAAGCTGATGATGGAGAATATCTGCAAAACCCAACTATATTTCGTCATCTGGTCGGAAAGCTAAATTATTTAACAAATACTAGACCAGATCTTTTTTTTGCTGTACTCACCCTCAGTCAATACATGCAGAAGCCATGTGTGTCTCATCTCTCTGATGCTTTACGAGTACTCAAATACCTCAGTTTTGCTCCGGGACAAGGCATTCTTCTTTCAGCTGAGGCATCATTTTCCTTGCTTGCATTCTGTGATACTGATTGGGCTTCCTACAAAGATTTAAGAAGGTCCGTTAGTGGGTTCTTTATCACTCTAGGAGGAGCTCCCATCTCCTGGAAATCAAATAAGCAAGTCTCAATTTCTTTGTCATCCGCAGAAGCCGAATATAGGTCTGTGAGAAGGGTTACTGCAGAGCTTACCTGGTTGGTACTAATTCTTGAGGATCTATCTACACCAGTCACTCTACCAATTCCTCTTCACTCTGATAGCAAGGCAGCAATCCACATCGCCCGAAACCCCGTCTTTCATGAACGCACAAAACATGTCGAAATTGACTGTCATTTTGTGCGTCAACAGTTTCTTTCAGGGTTAATCACTCTTTCTGTTGTTCTCTCCAAAGCTCAGCTTGCAGACATCTTTATGAAGCCTCTTTCTGGGGTTTCTTATCGAGAGATTTTGGACAAGTTAGGGGTCACTAGGTTCCCCTCCAACTTGAGGGGGGATGTTGAGAAGATAAAGCCCCCTCATAATTTTGATTTTCATGGTGGTTCATCTACAGATAGAGAAGAAGATGAGATGAAGAAGAAGAAGAACTAACAGAGATGGTTTGTCTTCAGATCAAAGTGTTCGATATAACCTAAGTCAAATAGGTTATTTTTGGTCGACTTTGGATGGACACGTGGAGAAGGCAAAGCCTTTGGATCAAGCAAGCTGATCCATGATTGATTAAATAGAGACCATCTGATAATAGTGGCACTAGAAGCTTCCTTCACGTGAATGACATGCGAGGGAATATAGGTTAGTTACTAGAAGAATAAATTTAGTTATTAGTGGGCAAATTAGAATAGGACAAGTGTACAGATTTTACTCTTTCTGCTCATTCTTTTATTCCTTAGCAAGTGTATATATACATGTACATGAAAGTGATGAAATATACGGAAATTTTCAGAATTTACTCTTCAAATTCGTTCAGAGAATCAATAAGCAAAGTCCTTAAAAATTAGTACGATTATATGTCTCATTGAAGGTGTGACTAATGAATAAGATGGTTCTTACTTCACTATCATCTTAAATTCACATAATCTAGAAACTCCTCTAAGAAGATTCAACCAATCAATCTTTTTTCCTACTAATTCGCTTGTCTATGCTCTTTAGTGCATTGTCCGCCTTTCACTGAATAATGATCGTTAATTTTGTAATGCAATTAAACCATCGGAATAATAATGCATTATCGCTTTAACTCTAAACCTTTTGCATGTTCTACTGCGTGTGTATGTTAGGATCAAAATGATTAGGTGTGATGCGGGAGCTAATAAAGCAGACCTTCAATGACGATAAATCCGACAATAATAAGAGAAATAACCCGGAAGAGACACAAACATTTAACGTGATTCGGTCAATTGACTTACCTACATAGGCAAAGATAACCAATCCAGTATATAAAGAGAGTACAAAATATCGAGAGAACAACCTCACAAAGAGGCACACACAAGTAGCAGACTAACATTTGTCCCAAAAATTCACCTCTTAAACAAGATTCTCAAACCCGTTATGGCTACATTGTGGATGCTACTAAATTAGAAGGAAGTATCCTTAATTTATAGGAGTCCAATACCTTTTTATTCAAGAAAAAAGACTAGTCAAATATGGAAGAAACTTATTTTACTTTTCCTAAAAGATAAAATAAACTATAGAAAATATATTATCCTTCAGAAAAAACAAATATTATAAGAAAATCAAAACAAACACATCCAGTCACTTGGTTGAAAACTTAACACTGGTAATTCAGTTATTACAATTATTATATTGTTTTCTTTTTCTTTTTCTGTTTTACATGTAACACGCGTTTTTCTGCCGATAGTAGTATAGGTGAAATAAATAAGCGAAAAGTGATAAATAATTTGGGACACAGGGAGTAGTAATATTTTGTGAGATCGTAAAATGATGCAAGGCTAAAGGGATGCTAAAAAATTTAAGACCGTAGTAATTAAAAATCCAATTAATAGAAACTGCATGAGAATTAATGTTGATAATGAGAAAACGAAGCTACACGGTTTGTGAGGCAGAAAAAGATGAGAAGGGATTACTAAAGCATAAACGAACAGCTGACTTTTGCAAACAAATGAGTAAATGCTCATTGCTGTCCCCCTTTGACTCTTTGGACATAGTTATTTTACCACTTCTTCATCTTTAGTCAGCGTAAATTAAGACCCCGTCGTTGTGCTCTTCTCCTTCTCTCTTCAACAATAGTGTATATATAGACAAGGACCCCCACTGGCTTAGACGCTTGTCTCAACTTTGCTTCACTCTTGAAAGAAATCCCAATATATCCCTATCCAGAGAGCAAGAGAAAGAGAAGAAACAAAACCACTTCTTGTTTTTCCTTTAAAAGTCACTTAAAATAAAAGGAAGAAAGATTTGTTGCTTGAGAGTAGAATGGGAAGGCCACCTTGTTGTGATAAAATAGGGGTGAAGAAAGGACCATGGACACCAGAAGAGGATATCATCTTGGTTTCATACATTCAACAACATGGTCCTGGTAACTGGAGAGCTGTTCCCAGTAATACTGGTAAACATTTTAATCTGAAACCACTTCTTTTTCTTTTTTTTTTTCTGGAGAAGTTTGTTAGAGTCATTAAATGTGTAGTAGTAAGAGTAATAAATATTCTGCTGCTTTACATCCCCTAGATCAACCTTATCATCAATCTCTATGTACTCACAGCCGTTCATCTTTTTCATTCCAGGTTTGCTTAGATGCAGCAAAAGCTGTAGACTTAGATGGACTAATTATCTCCGTCCGGGAATCAAACGTGGCAACTTCACAGAACATGAAGAAAAGATGATTATTCACCTCCAAGCTCTTCTTGGCAACAGGTACCATGCAAAATTTCATTGTTTTTCTTGTTTTAGGATTAGATCCAATTTTATATGTTGCGAATCCTAATAGGGATTTTTGTTAGGGTTAGTGTCTAACATATTTTTAAAAAAATCTTGTGTGTGTAGATGGGCTGCGATAGCATCATATCTCCCACAAAGGACGGACAACGATATAAAAAATTACTGGAATACTCATCTGAGAAAGAAGCTGAAGAAACTTCAAGGGAATGATGAGAATAGTAATCAAGAGGGAATACGCTCATCGTCTCAATCAAATGTCTCAAAAGGACAGTGGGAGAGGAGGCTTCAAACTGATATCCACATGGCTAAAAAAGCCCTTTGTGAGGCTTTGTCCCTTGACAAATCTGATTCTCCGCCAAATAATCCTATCCCTCAACCTGTTCAATCATCTTGTACTTATGCATCTAGTGCTGAAAATATTTCTCGATTGCTTCAAAATTGGATGAAAAATTCCCCCAAATCATCTCAATTTAGTCAATCAAACTCGGAGTGTACTACTCAAAGCTCCTTTAACAATTTATCAATCGGGCAGGGTTCGAGTTCTAGTCCTAGTGAAGGGACCATAAGTGCAACAACACCCGAGGGTTTTGATCCGCTCTTTAGCTTCAATTCATCCAATACTGATATGTTGGCAGATGAGAGTAACGCTTTCACACCTGAAAATGCTAGGATTTTTCAAGTTGAAAGCAAGCCAGATTTGCCGAATCTGAATGCTGAAAATGGATTTTTATTTCAAGAGGAGAGCAAGCCAAGTTTGGAATCGGAAGTGCCATTAACTTTGCTGGAGAAGTGGCTCTTTGATGATGCTATTAATGCACCAGCACAAGAAAACCTAATGGGATTGGGAATAGGAATGGGAATGACCTTGGGTGATGCTTCTGATTTGTTTTGAAGAAATATTTACGAAATGATTAAATGATAGCCCTAGTAAATATTTCTTCAAAACAACTTAGTAGTTACGTTTTGGTTTCTTTTATCTGTTTTTTTTTGGGTTGTTACTTGTTAATTAGACTTTGGAGTTTATAGGTTGTTACTTACTAGCCTGAGCAAAAACTCTGGTATTTGCAAGAGCAAAAAGTGTAAATTACAAGTAATCTTAAATCTGCATATGTAGTGAATAGTACTAGTGATACTACCCTCTCTAAGCTTCTAAGAGCTTCAACTGTTTGTACTATGTGCTCAATTTTTTTGAGTATTTATTATCTAGAAATGAAAATTAGAGTTTGACTTCAGATGTTCCCAAGTTCCAATGGCATAAGTAAACGTACAAAAATCATGAACGGCATTAGATTGTAATTTTTCATAAAAACTTTGTCAGGTCGATCCAGTAAATATATATATCACTCTTATTTATTTCTTGTTTTTAATGTAAGTAGTGGCTATTAAGTGTTCCCTGGCCCTGCAACTCTTTAAGGTTGTTTGAATCTAAATGGACGATGAAGTGAAATTTGAGCTCCATGGTATGACCATAAAGAGGCGAGTTATCCATCATAATGTAAAGCGAATGCACCTAGGAATTAGGTATTACATCGTCCTTCCCATTTTAGTTATCATATTTCGCTTCACAAGATTCGAATTAATTAAGTAAACTTCCTATAATTCGCAACTGTGGTTGTATACTGTAAAGTTGCAATATTAAAATGTAACAAGTACGCTATCAAGCTATTCAAATATTACTCTTGTGACTGACTGTTTGATTTTTCACCCAACTTAATAAATTCTTGAAAAAAAAAGTCTTGACGCGCATAGTAATTCATTCAATTAAGTCCTAGAAAGGAAGAATGGCGCTATATATATGTCTCTACCCATTTAAGACTCCATGAACAACACATCGCTCTACAGGATCTTGAATTTCAAGGAAGCTTCCTTTATGGTGAAGTATAGAGAGTACGATTCTAAATAGACAAGAGAAGAAAGCATTGAGTTTTCACCACCCAAAAAAAAAATAAGGAAAAAAGGAAATAAATAAATAAATAAATATATATCTTACTGGAAAATGTTCACCTAAAATGATGTAATCTTGTAATCCAATTACTATTACTGGAAAAATAAATTTTACCCATATAATGGAGATATTTATGAAGCGGGTCGAGGACAAAGAGAGACAAAGAAGATAATGTAAATATATATAGATAGATGTATAAGACCGTAAATAAAATGTTATTTTCTCTAATTTAATGTTTTAAATGGAATGGTTCGTACAAATTAAAGTAATTAAAGTTTAGCATTTCGAGCCGTCTCTCTTGGAAAAACATGAATCTAATTTGAACACTAATATTGTTGGTTAGCGTTTCTCCAGTGAAAAAGATTTAGGTTAAATGGGAAATCTCCTCACCTCTCATGGTTATAACTACTCTCCAACTATACCAATTTAACTATATACCAATTTCCGTGTGATTGGATGACTTATAATCTCTTTAAGAATCAAAGTCTTATAGCACGTTTGTCTGTCGAAAAATATTTTTTTCTTTAAAAGTATTTTTGTTCAAAAGTGCTTTTTGAAAAAATACTTTTGCAAAATAACATTTTGTGTTTGGCCAATTCATTAAGTAATGCATTTTGCTACCAAATTATATTTGGCCAATCATTTCAAAAATTACTTTTGAGTATCAAATTACGAAAAAATACCGTAAATGTTCAATTTTGAATTAGTATTATTTAATAAGATAAATAAATTTAAATATTTATTATAATAAAAATATAAATTAAAGATTTCAATTAATATAAAATATAGTTATTCCAAAGCGATAATATTAGGGTATCTAATATTACTTATTGCTTACATGATGATTTAAATTTATCAAAATATATCATTCAATATAAATTAAAAACATACTCTTATAAATCACTATAAAGAAGAAATCTATTTATAGTAGAGAGACTATTCCAAAGAGAAATAGGAGAAAGAGAATAAAAATATGGTAGAATAAAAAAGAGAAGAAATGTATGGTAAAAAGAGAAAAAGAAAATAGAAATGTAAAATTAATGAGTGATAACTTGAAAAATATAAATTTAATGTAAGGATATTTTTGTCTTAAATTAAAATTTTTTTGCTTCTGCTTCTCGGAAAAAACTAGAATTTGTAGTTTCTCCCCAAAAGTAGAAAAATTATTTCTACTGCTACTCAAAAGTACTTTGCTTCTATAGTAAATATACATGTGCCATTTGGAAATTAAAAAGTCATAAACCAACGGATACGAGAGTTTACCAATCTTTTTCTTTTTAAAATCGATTTTGGAGAAAGCATTGATTAATTAATTTTCATACATTGATCATTCTTAAATTCACGCTGCAATCTGCTAATTGTCATCATTTGGACCAAACTTGTTTAATTACAATAGCTAGGCATGTGGTACATTCTGGATGTGAAATTTGACATTTGGACAATTCCAAAAAGGATCAATCTCTTCTTTGTAAATACCATTACTTAACAGTCAAATATTCCCCGTTTGTTAAACCAACTTCAAAATATTTCTTTCCTTGCGGATGAGATAGAAGTTCAGCTGAAATGGACTCCTTTAATTTATATACACAAGGGTGACAAGATGTAAAACCTTTTAGTTCTATTAACCCGTGCTGGTTTACAAAGGCTTAAGGTAATGTTGGAAATTGTGGCGATTAAGCCTAACGGGAGTTTCAACAATAAAGTTGATCAATCTTTTAATCTCCTCTTAAAGTTGGTCAAACTGACAATGTGTGACTACCAGGATTCTGTAAGAGAGAGAGAGGGGATCACAAATACACAGAGAGGAGCTAAAAAGTTTGAGTTTATAAGTTATGAATTTTTAAAAATACAGCTTATTAGATTTCCGTTCACTTTTACTTGTCCACTGTACCAAAAATATATTTGCAATTTTGCTTGTCTACTATAATAAATCAAGAGACAAACAACCTTTTTTTTTTTTTTTTTTTTTTTTTTTTTTTTTTTTTTTTTTTTTTTTTTTTTTTCATGTTTTACCCTTATCATTAACTACTCATTCTCCAATTCATTTCCCAAAACTTTAAAAATACTATCATTATTAGGGGTAAAATTATAAAATACATATTTTATTTGTTTTTTATGAAAGGGAGATAAAGTCCAATGTGGATAACTAAACAAAAACGGAGGGAGTATATATTAATTGAATTTTTAAGACAAATACCTTTTTATAGTACAAGCTGAAGTATAGCTCCGCTCCTGCTAATACCTTTTATAGTACAAGTTGATAACCACAATAAACATATGCCTAATTGAGAAACTAAACATGTTAAAAATGTACACTGTAGTTGGATTATGCAAACATGGCAGCGATGGTTAGATCTTGAATTCTTTCAATATCAAATTTTGGTAAAACGTGCATTGGGAAAACGCAAGTGGCCATTAAATGCAAAATATATGGAGAATCAAGTTGACTTGCTTGAACCTAACCACACACCAGGCCCAGGCCAAAACCTTTTTTTCTGTGAAAGCATAAGCCCCTCATGAATACAAACACCAAATGACAAGGCAAAATAACACTTGCATATAATGCAAACAGTCACTTTTGATTTGTCAATATGCAGAAAGAATTTATTGAAGGCACATTTTTTCTTTCCTTTACAGGTTGCACATATTGAAGCAGTAAATGAAGCAATGTGGAAAAAAAATATGGAACTTAAAATTGCACTAAGACCAGAGTAGCAAAAAAGAAAATAGATGCATATGATTCCACCTCCAAAGTCCAAAGGAAGCTTCCTTTACAGGCAAACATATTTGGGGATTTATTCATAGTTGCAGCAGGTCATGATACCCATGTTCTTTCCTAAAATGAAAAACAGCTAAGCTTGCTCTTATGTAATTTTGATCAAACTTTTTTAATCTTAAAATATTCTATTGTGGGCTACTATTCATACATACCATATGGTTTTTCTCTAAAGACACTATTGTTCATTTATAGCTGCTTGACTCCCTCATGTGCTTTCGGACAGAGCCCCTTCCTTTTCCTACCTAAAGTTCAGAATTTTTAATTTATGGGTTCTGGACAATAATAGTGCTTTTGTGTTATATAAATAAAAGTTTCAAATCAAAGCTAACCCGTAGCGGCCGGCTTTGCCCCTCCTCTTTCTATAATTATTAATTCATGTAATGAACATTATGTTATTTCTTGTGCGTCTCCATATGTATGTATGTAAATAGGCCATTTATTTATATTTTTTCGGTCCAATGAGAGGTCCATGAGTACTATATAAATATGATTTGTGGAGTGGTTTTAATAAATTAATTAATTGATTTGTGGTGTATGGTCATTAGGACGTCGAGAGTGGTCTATTTCGAATGAGATGTCAATTTGATTTCTTTGCCAGAACTACGAGATACTATTAAAATGCATGGATAAAGAATGATTGGGGCCATCTAGTCCTGCTTGCGATTTTTGATTTGATAGAATAAACAATACAAAGTTTTAAAGAAGAAAGAAAAGTGATGAAAAAGATGATCCCTAAACTTGAGATATTACTAAAATATTGTTGGCAATTAAATGCGGTTGCAATCAAAGAAATCGTGTATGAGAAGTATTTCACAGTCCCATCATGATTGATTACGATACCCAGAATATACAAAAAATCAAATAATATTTAAGAAATTAAATGCGATAAATATGTGAGTGTGTATCTGTAAATTTCCTGTTATAAGAATTCAAGTAAAATTTAAATGTTAATTTAGTCTTGTAGTGCTGTTTTTACGAGCAAGAAATATTGAAATCAAAATAGCATTGTCCTTAGGTCGTATGTGCAGACCTTTTTAAGCTTAATTTTAAGTTTGTAAATATGTAGCTAAATGTTTCATAAACCATTAAAATGAGACTATCGTTGTGTACTCTCTTTGTTTCAATATATTAGCATATTTTCTTTTTAGCCCGTTTTAAAAAGAATGATCAGTTTCTTAATAATTTATATTTTAAAATTTGCATATTACCTTTAATGAGATAATTTATAGCCACATGTATTTATGATTTATTTTAGATCATAATTTCCAAAAATGTTCTATTCTTTTTTTAACTCTGTATACAATCAAATAGGTTCACATAACTTAAAACAGATGGAACATTTAAAGATGGAGTATATATATATATTTAAATATTTTAAGCTAAAGATGTGAACGGACACCTAAAATGTGAAACGAAAAATCATATATAAAGTAAAGCTGAAATGAAAACTCATAATTGAAATAGAAATGATTGCTTAAATAAATTATTCCAAATAAAAACTCACAATA